GTGATTTAGATCCAATAAAGAGATGTACATGCAAGGTGATTGTGAGTTTGGGATCATTGCCATATATGTCCTAAAGGGCATAATCTTGACACCTTTGAAGTTATTTTTCAGGTTTTTATGTGGTGTGTTGATAGTTATGCATAAATATGATTGTCATGTAGAAGTTGAGAGAAATAATTGCAGTGTGAGATTGTGCTGTATGATTGAGAGGAGGTAGCTGTTAATATAGGTCTTAAAGAAAATGGCTACATCTATCATGAAAAAAGAAGAAGTATATTTTTGGCCTCTAAGTGTGTAGTTGATGCTCATACTACCATGATTAAAATCTCAAAATAGATATCATGATGATGGCTGTCATAATTGAGTGGAGTATGTAACATCCAATCTCCAATTGTCTACGACCACCTTGCTAAGGCACGATGTTAGGCCTAATGCTTAAGTGCTACAGACTCGTGCTTAGAAGCTACCCTTGGACCCTAGGATCTATCATGAAAAAAGAAGAAGTATATTTTTGGCCTCTAAGTGTGTAGTTGATGCTCATACTACCTTGATTAAAATCTCAAAATAGATATCATGATGATGGCTGTCATAATTGAGTGGAGTATGTAACATCCAATCTCCAATTGTCTAAAACCACCTTCTAAGGCACGATGTTAGGCCTAACGCTTAAGTGCTACAGACTCGTGCTTAGCAGCTAGCCTTGGACCCTAACCCCCACACTCCGGTGCCTAGGTGCCAAGTAAGGTGCCATGCGGATTGTGAAGCACGGTTTCATGCAGATGTACAAATTCCTTCGAACGTTGAGAGTTGACGAGTATGAGAAATTTTTTATGAATTGTTACAGCTAAAAAACAATTTGATGTTGGGCTTTCATTGTTTAGGTTCCACAACAAAAATAGCGCTTCATTATTTCACCATTGAGATGACACATTTTCTTAAAAAGCAAAATCATGTTTTATATAAAGTTCAAAACTTTGAATTATTGCTGTAATGTGATTAATTTAATGAAAATGTTTTTTTATGCTCGTTTGGATGTCTGCTAGCATGGACACAACATGAACAATGATTGATACACAGCTCATATATAATTTTCTGATGCTGGGTACAATTTTTGACTAATCAATTACTTCATTTAAATTTAATTCAATAATTATAAAATTCATTTTCACTTTATTGAAGTCCATTATTATTATTATTTTTATATATAAACAGAACACAAGGATGAGAAGTGCTTTTCATTTCAACTATTTTATGGGGAAAATATGTGAGACTGAGAAATTTTTGTATATCTAATATAGAAAATAGAAAATCAATGTCTTGAAAACTATATTAGTCAATTTTTTCTGGTACCAACCCAGCCGACAAGAAGTATTTTCCTTGCAGAAAATATCAGATAATGCAAACAAAGCAAATCAATACAAAAGAATTGCATGCTGTTTGACATTACCCAAAAAGAGTATTTAATTAAAGCAAAATAATCCTTAAAAATTCATTCATCATTCACAAACACCATTTCTTTCTTATCATAATCTTCATTCAAGTATTTGTTGGATTCAAATTTGTTCGTAGAAGATGCAAAAACTCAACTAGCAGAGAACCAGAGAGATTGCAGACTTGTACGAGTTCTGGTTTATTGAAGACTTGGAATTAAGAGAGTCAGACAATAGAAATTCTAACATTAGATAGCAAAGTGATTTTATTATGGCAGAATTGTAGCTGAAACAAAATGTAAAATCATATTATTGCAGCACTTAATTGATGAGTGAGTATCAAAGTTGGTGGTACAAATTTGGCTATATGGAACAATTATGTAGGAAAATAAATAAATATTAAATTCGGAATGACTGGTTCTGTATTGAGCATTAGAGACTGAAGATATTTTCAAATGGAAGGAGAGTACTTTGGACGAGAATCTTTTGTCTGTTGGTTGAGTATTCTTGACGAGTAGCTGGCTCTTCGGATGATTAGACTTATTGTGTAGGCATTTCTGTACGTTCTCAAGTAAAGCTCGGCCGTTCAATTTCTAGGGATTAGTAGGGTTTCTCTTTTGAACAAAAAGAAAAGAAAAAGAAAAAAAGATTCGATTTTTAGGTGGGTAGAGATTGTAGGTTAGAGTAGACTGAGGTTTGAGTAGAGTTATCACCAATGGTTTGATAAAGCCAACTTGAGTCATGAGATGATGAATATGAGAATTTAAAGAAAAAAAGAAGAGCAACTTTGAAGATAAATTCTATGGTTATGATAAGTGAGAGTTTTGAAATTAATTAGATATTTGATCATTAGAAGTATATATTAGCATTAAAACAATGATGACAAGTCTTACCTACAAGATTACATTCTTGTGGTTAAAATGAATTTAATTATTCAAGTTTGAGAAACAATTTTTATCTTCTCGACATCCGTCTTCATATAACATAAATCATTTTATATTGAAAAAGAGATGCAAATGTATGTTTAACTTGAGTTGAGGCCAGTGGACCTGACCGTATCGTATTGATACCCAATGGGATTCCTCCAACTACCGATAGGTCAAAAAAGAAAACAGTATGGTTTTCGATGAATAAGACCAGAATACAAATTCCTTACTCAGTCTTATAGATTCAAAATATTGACTTGCTCATCAACGTTTCACTGTATCACAAATCAATTAATTCGTGAAGGTACCACAAAGGGTTTGCTCCAACACCAATAGATCCTGGAAAAAAAGGAGAGCGTGTAGTCTTCGATGAGTTATACTGAGAAGGACAAATGTAGATTTACTCAGATTTACATGCCCAAAGGCTTGATTCCAAGATCAGCCTTGATTTGAACTAGAATCAATCAGAACACATCACATCGTGATGGTACCACACAGGACACCTTAACATACAAAAAACCTGTGGATAAAGTCGTAAAAAAGACTAGGTTTGTGAATTCCAGTAATGGGGGTGAGGCAATCAAACTTTGCACCTTAGCTAAGATTATCTTCAATTGGCTCATTTCAATGCTAACATATTTTCTTTAGGAAATTTTATAGGTTCGGAAAAGCTCAATCTTGAATTTTAAGATTAAATTCAAAATTTCAAAGGAATTGAGTATGATGATGAATCACTTGTTCAACAATTCATTTGAAATACCATGTGGAGAGGAGATTTTAATTTCCAACTTCGCAAAAAAACGGGGTTTGAAGATTGGAAAGATGGATCAAAACAATATGTCAAATTGGATAATCTTTTGAGCATTAATAACTTCGATTTAAACCTTTGTCTCCCTCAGGACCCTATTTTTATTACCATCTATCTTCAGAGATACATATATCATTTTATGATCAACAAATTGATCAAGTCAACTCCTTCTTCTTCTTCTTTTTTTATTTCTTCATTCTTTTTTTTTCATCATCTTTTTTTCCTTTTTTTCTTATATATATATATTTGAAGAAGACTTTCCTAATTTTAAGGCCCCCACAAAAGAATTTCAAAAGATTTTTATAAATTAAAGTAGATTTTTATCCTAGTTCAAAAACTCCAATTTGACCTGATATGCGGAAGGAGTGGATCAATCCGCATGAAGTAAATATAGCTTGAGTGAACCACATTTATAGGAATATAAGGTGGAGTAAGTAGATCAACTATCACAAAAAAGTAATTTTTTTCAAAGGAAAGGTGATTCATGAATTTCCTTAATAAAATAGTCATATTTTTATGAGTTAAATCATTATGATTGATTGAAGCTATTTACGAACATACCTTATAAAAGACTGTTTTGTAATGGATTAGGATTTACATAAAAAAAAACAATATCATTTGTATTTTAGCTTTCATCTAAGTTGATAAGATGACATCTGCCAATGTAAAGTTGAATTTTATAATTCTCTATGAAGAAAAAATTATGACAGGTCTATCCAAACTAAGTGGCACTCGAAGCTTCTCCTTTTTAAAAGTTAGAATTATCAGAGTTGTTTTTAAGGAAAGATAAGTTTGGTATAACCTGTAAAAAAGTCCTTAAACCCATTAGAGACATCTACGGGTAGGGATTTCAAATATCTTCTTGGATATTTTAAGTGATTAACCTTATGTTTAAGGAATATTATTTAGAAAATCACAAAGTTTAAGAAAACTAAAGAACATAATTTTATTGCATTAATGTTTGACAACAATCTTATCTTATAAATAGAATAAGTAGTAACATCAATTTAATTGAAATTAATAAAGTTTTAACCAATTTTGATGACAAAATCATTAACAAGGCATGCACTAAGACTGGGTTCAAACGAAGATTTGGTTATGCAAAAGACATTTTCTTGTAATTGAGTTGCAAGCATAGTGTCAACAACCGATTTTGAATTTGGATTTTCTAATGGGTTTTGGACAAGGCGGTGTTCGATTCTTCTTTCTTCTCTATGGGTGTCAAGTGGTTCCATGTCTCCACCAAAAACAACAATGATGGCCCTTTATTTTGGTTCCCTTAGGTATTTTCTAGGGATAAGTGTGGTTCAATCCGTATGTTTCATTTCCAGCTAGTTTTTAAAAGTGAAGCATTCTTTAAGTGTGTGCCCAAGAGATTTATGGCATGAACATTAGTTGGGTTCATTGCTCCTCCCACTTATTCAGGCTTGCGAGGTTCAGGAAGCTTGAAATATGGATTCTTTAATAATTCCTTGATCATCTTTCCCACGACCTCATCTTTAAAATAATAAACTAGTTTCTTCCTTTCCTCGAAAGTAAAATTAAATTTCTTCTTTCTTTCGGGCTTAGAAATTTGTTGCAAGTGCTTTTGTTTTTGTTGTGGTCGATGCCTTTGTGGTGAATACCACTGTTGTTGCCCAATTTTTTCAGGTTGTATCATCATTGTTTGTTTCCTTTTGTCAACAATAGACACATTCCCAGCTCTGTTATTAAAATTTTTATGAGGTTTTTGCTTGAATTTCTAATTCAAAAAAATCGACTGCTTGGCCTCCACTTGTAAGTTAGCTGCGTTATTCAATAATTTTTCAAAAGTTTTAAGGGTAAATGCTTTTAATAAAAAAGCAATAGGTCCACAAATATTCTTAAGTAGAATCTCAATGGCATGTTGCTCTTGTAACTAGGGTTCACACTTGAAGCTCAAATTTCTCCACCTCATAATATAATTTATTAGAGTTTCATCGGGTCTTTTTTTCTCAACAACCAAATCCGCAACAGTGATATGGTGTTGAGCTCCATTAAATCTTTTGATGAATGACTCTTCTAACTCACCAAAGGTCTTAATTGAACCATTGTGTAGTTCAACATACAAGTCAAATACAGTTTCAGACAAGTTGTTAACACGTTGACGAAATAACAATGCATCACTTCCTCCTGCATTATAGCAACTAGAATAGAAATGTGCTAAGTGTTGTTTTAGGTTGCCAGTTCCATTAAACACTTTTAAGATCGGTAGTACAAATCCATTAGGTTACTATACAATATCAAATTCTTCTAGATAACGCTCTTTTGGTATTGACTTATCATCTAGCTTAAGCTAAGACACCATTGACTTGTTTTTCAATCATGAACTTCAAATCCTTATCAGATGGTAACATTGTTTCTGATGGTGTCTTAGAGACCTCCTCTTCAGTTTTTCTTGTCCTGGAATACCTAGAACATGAACTGCCTCGTGTTTTTCTATTGCATATACTGTTGTAGGAGTTTTTCTTTGGACACATGGTGTTGAAGATTGTAACTTTTTCGTCTCTTTAATTTTTCAATATATTCACCCCTTTACTTCATCTAATCTAATAGATATTGAGTTGTATTAGGCTGTGGACCCTCTTCAATTGCAACATCTTGGCGATGTATGGGTGTTAGTATCTGGACTGGAATTTAATCCCTTGGGATCACATTCATAACCTCGTCCATCCTTTTCTTCAACTTTTCTATCAGTTCATCTTGTTGTTTTAATTGATTTCAAAGTTGTTGGGCTGTGTCTGGTAATACCTTCTTCAACCATGACATCCTGAAAACAAACTTCCTCTTTTTGTGGTTCTCTTGGTGAAGCTCTGAGCTTAATCATCATAATGACAGTGCTCTCTTCTAAAGCTTCTAAAGTTTCATTTTCTTCATTGAGTTATTTGATACTAGCTTTCAATTCACATAATACTTCATTGACTAGTTTGGCTTTGACATTCTCCAAATTACTTGGGACATACTTGGGGACGACGTCTTCCTTCCATGAGGTACAAGGAAAGATATTAACATAAAATCTACACTTGAATCTCTAAATTTTAATGAATTTAAGATTAAAATCTTTTGAAAGAGAACTCAATTAAGGATTTTAAAGTTGAATCCTGTCCACAAGATGAATAGGAAAATGCTTTAGTTTTTTAGGATTCTTTTATTTTAGTTTAGAATTTTGAGTTTGATTTGAGATTCATTCTCATGAAGCTTTTTGGGCTTTAGGATATTTTTTTATAATGGATTAGTAAAGAATAATTAAGTCATAAGACCCTAGCATAAACTAAGATACAAAACCACCCGAAAAGAAGGCCCGGTTAGGAAAATCCTACAACTTGCTCATTAGGCATGGTTTGAATGAGAGGTTATGGACCCAAAGTTTAAGGGCATTTGGTGGACTCATTCCTCGATCTTGAGAGAAAGGGAAATACAACAGGGGAAAGTAATCTGAGTCTACAAAGAGATACAAATATGTTACTGATGAAAAGAAAATATAAGTCAGACTCAAAGATGAAGAGAGGAATCATCCCCAACGGAGTCGCCAACCCTAAACCCTAAAACTCCTGATTAACTTCATTTCTCTTTTGATTTCTCTATACATAACAATAGCCACTAAGCGAAAAGCTTTAAATAAAAAAGAAGAAAAAAAAAACACAAATCTAAAATTGTCTTAAAAATTATTCCAAATCTGAAACAATCTGAATAAAAAGCAAGGAGCCTGAAACCTCCTCCTACTACTTCTTCGCCGCAGGCGAAACAGAAGCCGCCGTCGAAGCCGATAAATCCCTCGATCTCCTCCTCAGCATCAGCCTCATTCCATCTGCAACTAGAATTGCTGGATTTCTCTTATATTTGCTGCAGAATGACATATGAGCCTTCAAAGCAGCTTCAGTTCCATTGTATTCCTTCTTCCATCCATTCTTCATCTCATCTCTCACTGCTTCAGAGCAGAGCCCACAGAGCCATTTTCCTTCAAAACTCTCCTTCACCTGGCTTATGTATTCCTGCGTGCACTCTTCTCTCAAACCACAGCACGCGCAGTTGACCGAGTCTATCTCCATTATCAAGCGAAGAGTATTCAGAGCAGAAGAAGAGGAGTTGCAGAGGTGAAGAGAGGGGTTTTAAAGAAGAAAGATGATGTTAGTTATGCTGAATTTGCTCCTTAGTTTATGGGAGATTGTCTGTTACTTGAATAAGTGAAGTGGGGGTGGTGATAAGGAAATAGATTTTAATGCATGATGTTGGTCGTGTTGATGACTTTAGTTGATTGATTTGTTTGAGAATTTAATTATTTTAACTGAAAACCATCATGATTGGGGAACTGTGATCACTGTCCATCATGCTCCGAGATTCGTGTGATGATGATTGTATGTCGATGCAGCATTTGAACAGAGTTGATATTTCTCTTGTTTTGGCGAGTTGTTTATGTGAAAATGCATTCAGTCTTATCGAAATGACAGATTTGGCTGTGAAAGTGATGGACTAATTAGCATTTAGCAAGCAAGGTAGTTAATGCCCGGTCGGTCAGGCCAGGTATTTTCAGGTTCGAATTATTTAAATTAAGAAAATAATTAAAGAGAATATTTTTCTCATTTTTTTGGCTTTGGGTTTAAGCAAACAGACTTTGTTCACCTCAGGCCTTGATGGCTCTCTGATCACCTTTGCCGAAGTCTAAAGTTTCATCAGTTGCTTTAATTTTTTTTTAAAAAATGGTCAAGGCTTAAAGCCGATTGTAATTTCTTAAAACAGTATGAACAAATGTGTTAGATTTACACATTTCTAGTATATACATGGTTTAGAAACAGAACCGTACCGAGCGGTTTAACCAGCTTAGCTATGAACTGGACATTCAACTGGTTTGGTCCAAGCTTATAATAGTTTCTGTATATAATGGGGTTTGAACTTGTCAGAACCGGGGTTTAACTTTTATTTCTTTTTTGCTTCATGACCGGTCCGATTTTGTAGGACATTAACATTAATGTAAGAGCTGAACAAAGTAGTCAATTATATAACAGCAATCGAAATTTTATTTTAGATTTCGAAAATAACATATCTTTTCATTCAAATATAGTTAAAGAATCATTTTGTTATGGCTCTATAAATGCTATCATTGCTATGATTTTTGAAACAAAATCATCATCCTCTCTTTGAAGAAGAAAGCCAATTCGTACTGGTAAAGTAATAATAAAAATCAATTGAAAACTCTTGTGAAAACATCAAAAATACATAATTTCATTCCATTAAACCCATATAAAATAGTAGTGCTATTTAAAATTATGACGAACTCCTCATTTCTTCATCAAATTTTTATAAATAGAAATAATGTGTAAGTTATAAATCATCAATATTGAAAATCTTAAAATAGAAAATATTAATTTCCACACATAGCAATAATAATCTTGATCTCTGGGCACATCTTACAAAAAGGAAACTTATAATTATTAGAGGTTTTAGTACACAGCAGCAACAGCAGCAGCAGCAGGCAGTTGGTGCAATATCTATTTCTGATGCTTAATATATATAAAATATGTCAATTATGGGGTCAACTTATCCTATCAAATCTCTGGCTGATAATGAACCGTAAAAGAATAAATTGTCCCAAAAAGAAAAATGTTTGGAAAGCATGATTTCATTGTACTAAGACCATATGTTAGCTCTTAACATTCAGTGTTCTGGTTGAATGTTTTTTTTTTAATTTGTACGTCCTGCATGTTGCACCGCTTTACATTTGTTATACTTTTCAGTGAAATGCATGAACTTGGGGCTAAATAAATGATAATAGAATTTAATTAGAGATTACATATGTGAATGTTGAAAGCCTTGGCACTACTCATTCAGCATAATTTAGATCTTTAATGATGCTAGAACCTCAATCAAATAAAATTTGATGAATCATTACTTGATCAAACCACCCTAGCTATTATGATATTTGGGTTAACTTAAAAATCAAAGTGGTTTGAGTTTTAACTACAACTAAATAGAATCAAGGATGGATTGTTACTAACCATAAATATTAACAAGATTAGACTTGCAAAAAAAAAAAAAAATCCCATTGGTAAGATTCCTTGCTTTATTAAAGTTGCACTTTTATTTTTTATGAGTGGTGCGTTATATCCTTGTATGTGCACCCAACCTTTGAGGTGAACCTACATAAGTCAATCGCCTCTGAAGCGAGTTGTTCTTCTTGAAAAGGTAAGTCTCTAGTGTTGTGAGGCTAATTGAATCTTTCGATGACCGGATGGGCAAACTCAATCATGTTTCTCCTCGTGCTCTAACGGCTAGATGGATTATCAAATATGATTCGCTAAATGAGTTAGTTGAAGTGGTATGGTCTAGTCAACTTGGTGGATTGTTTGGCTAGCCTTTCAACCAAGACTCCTGCTCGACAGTTGGGACGTGGCCAAGAAACTTGACTATTTGCCTTAAGATGTACATTTATTTTGGCTCAATGAATAATCTTGATCCTAATCCTAGGCTCAGTTGGGCGGCATTCAACCATACAATTTTTTTTTCTTTGTAATATTCAGACATTGTTTTTCTTTTTAATTGTTCTTTGCTTGTTCTGATCTTCTTTTGGAAGGATTGAAGGTATTTTCTTTCTTTCGTTGAGAATCTCAGCTGCTGTAATTTTCATTTTTATTCATGAAAATTATATTTCTTTTTGGTTTAAAAAATCCTATAGAATATTATAGAATCTATGAATGGGTTTAAGCATTTATTTTTGGTGCTTTTCTTTACAGCTCAGCACTGTGATTGCCAGGCCCCAAGCTCCTAGTGCAAATAGTGATGGGTTGCATTAGGTAGTCGATAGACGATATAAAAATTTTCAAAAAAAATCATAATAATAATCTTTTAAATTCTTATGTACATGCTAGGGTGCCCTGAGAAGCGACACGATGTATGATCTGAATATAAAGAAAAGTGTGCAAGGACCGCTATACTGGCGCCTGAGTGTAGTGTCAAATAAGCAAGAGTTCACATATTACTGATCGATGCAGGTAAGAAAATTAGTGCATAAAATTAATATTATGATAAGACTTGGAATATAGGTAGTCTGATAGATAAATTAATGGAGTTAGTCGATATTATGGTTCATAGGAAGAAAAATATATTATGTATCAAAATGGGTTGGAGAAAAGACTACGAAGATTGATAGCTTAGGTTTTAAACTTTAGTATTTAAATAGGAGTCGCACTAGAAATAGTGTAGGTGTAATTATATATAAGAGTTTGAAAGATAATGTTGTAAAAATTAGAATTGGAGGTAGAATTATAGTCCTTAGGATAGTTGTTGATGCTAAGATTTTTAATATTTTAAGTGTTTATGCTCCTCAAGCAGGTTTAGATATAGGTTCTAAAGAAAAATTCTGGAATGAATTATAAGAATTAATACAAATGATACATCTTGAAGAAATAATGTTTATTGGTAGAAATAATTTTTATTGGAGTAGATTTAAATGGACATGTCGGTAGAGTGGTAGAAGATTTTAGAGATATTCATGGTGGTGACAGTTTTGGAGTGATTAATAAAGAAGGTAGAACCATATTAGATTTTGCTTTAGCTTATGATTTTGTTGTTGCTAGTACTTTATTTAAGAAAAGAGATGAGCATATTATTACTTGTAAAAATTATTCATATTATTACATATAAGAATGGATCTATAAAACACAAATTGATTATCTTCTTATGAGAAGAAAAGATCATCGAGAATGTAAAGATTGTAAGGTCATTTCGAGTGAAAATTTAAGTAAGATTGTAAAGTCATTCCAAGTGAAAATTTAAGTACCCAACATTGATTATTAGTTTTTAATTTTAAGATGAAAAGTTGTAAGATAAAGAATATTAGGAATCATTGTCATTAAATTAGATTGAGGAACCTAAAAGACACAAATAAAATTATTATTTTTTAGTAAACTTCAAGATTCCAAGATTTGGGATGTTCTTGAAGAAGAAAATTCTATGTGAGATAAAGTAACAAAAACTATTAAAAAAGTAAAAAAAAATGTACCTAGAGAATCAAAATGAAAAATTTATATAAATAGAAATAGTTTGTGTTGAACTAATAATGTGCAAGAAAAAATAAAATACAAGAAGTTGTGTTGTAAAAATTAATTTAAATGTAAAAACCTAGAGAATTGTGCACAAATAAAATTATTATTTTTTAGTAAACTTCAAGATTCCAAGATTTGGGATGTTCTTGAAGAAGAAAATTCTATGTGAGATAAAGTAACAAAAACTATTAAAAAAGTAAAAAAAAATGTACCTAGAGAATCAAAATGAAAAATTTATATAAATAAAAATAGTTTGTGTTGAACTAATAATGTGCAAGAAAAAAATAAAATATAAGAAGTTGTGTTGTAAAAATTGATTTAAATGTAAAAACCTAGAGAATTGTTAAAAATTAAGGTGGCTAGTAGGGAGTCTAATATAATAATTTGTAGCATTTAAAACTTAGTATAGATTTAACTAATGTAAAGCGTATTAAAGCTGAAAATCAAAAAGTTTTTTCTTAGAAAAAGATATTCAATATAGGTGGGTGTGCTATTTTGAAAAACTTTTCAATGAAGTTTCTGAACATATAATCGACCTTAGTGATCTTAATATCATTAATAATAATGAAATATTTTATTTTTGTTGTCACATTTGTAAAAAGAAGTTGAGGAGACTTTAATGAAATGAAGGGTGGAATATCAGTAGGAGTTGATGATATCCCAATTGAAGTGTGGAGATATTTAGGAGATTTGAGAGTTCTTGGCTTACCAGACTCTTGAATAGTATTTTAAAAGCTAAACAAATGTCTGAGGAGTGGAGGAAGAGTATTTTGGTCTCCATTTTTAAGAATAAAGGGGATGCATAAGAGTGTGCAAATTTTAGAGGAATTAAGTTGACGTTTTTAAGAATAAAGGGGATGCATAAGAGTGCAAATTTTAGAGGAATTAAGTTGACGTGACATACTTTAAAATTAAACATAGTTTAAGACGTGATATAAATATTTCTCATAATTAGTTTGGACTTATGTCGGGCGGGCCTACTATGTAGGCTATACATTTATTGAGAGGTTTGATGGAGAAGAACAGAGAGAATAAGGAGTATCTACATATGATTTTTATTGATTTAGTAAAAACTTACGTTAAGGTTCTAAGAGAAGTCCTTTGGAAAGTTCTAGAGAAGAAGGT